GTTCACAAAACTGAAAAAAACGTGTACTCACTGTGGACAGTCATGAGGTCCAGTAGCACACAACCTAAACACATGAGCAGACTCATCATAGCTGTGAAGGTTTCAGGCCGTTATCCTACACCATACCAGCAGCTGAACTACTGCAGCCAGACTGCCAGTGTCCTCTGCTCCTATCTGCCGGCCCAGCCTGGTCATCCACTCCTCTCTGGAAACAGTAGGAGTAAGTCACTTCAACCTTTATCCTCGAGTTTCCTCTGGAAAAAAAAGTTTTTAATTTCATCCTTCCACATGCAGCACCAAGGTCCAACACTGCAGCATTGATTGAAAAGGAAAAAGAAGAATGAGAGCTACCAAGTTCACCTTCAAAAACTACCCAGCGCCCCCTGCCACCCCAGCACTATCAAAACTCTTTCTCCTGACCCTCCTGACTTGTCGAAAGGCCTTACATTGTTGCCATGGCAACACTGGGTACAGAGCCGAGCAGGTTCATCTATACTGTATCAGCACGCTCTGTCTGTGTCACCACCCAGGCTTATCCGTGCTGAAATGTTTCAGTAGCCTACTGTGTCTGTGTGTGTGTGTGTGTGTGTGTGTGTGTGTGTGTGTGTGTGTGTGTGTGTGTGTGTGTGTGTGAGTGTGTGTTCGCATGGCTTTGTTTTGTAGCTGTGGGGAGATTCAAGTCAAGACAACACAGAAGTATTATACGCAGCCGAGACGCACAATTGTTCCTCTGTATGAGTGTGAATCATGACTCATTATTGAATCTGTGTCTGCAATGATAATAACTCATAATCATCAGCCTGATCATCGTCATCGTCATCTTTATTATCATAATCATCATCGTCAGCCTTCTGGCAAGTCAGCATCATCCACAGCATGGGAGAAGAATCTCGCCTGACCTCCTCTTGTCCCACATTTAGAGTGAGCTGAATAATTGATGCATCACACAGCAGAATGGGAGAGACGGCTTTGTGTGGCCTCCCACTGTCAGGTGTTTCCTGGACCAAACACTCGCCTGACTTCACAGACAATCACAAAAACAGACAAACATAACTCATGCAGATATTTTGGAAATATTGGAAATATTTAACCTAAAGTTGGTCTTCGCAATAGGAAACCATTGTTAAGGGGTCAGCTGTACATAGCAATGAAACATAACTTTTAAAACTGCTACTGTATATCGTGATGAAAACTGTTGACAGCAGGGTCTGTACATTATCCAGAGTACTGGGGAATATTTCTGGAAAGAAGAAATGTTGCTAGCATCTGATGAGATGTGATTTTGTGCTTGTGTTATTTTAAAGATAGGGTAAAAAGATAGGATAAAGAAAAGTTTGGAATTTAGTTGAAAGAGACAAGAGAGTGAGCCATGAAGGGCTGGGGAGAAAGAGGGGATTAATTGCCCCAAAGGGACCCGGGGTCCAGTCAACCCCGGGCCACTATGGTAAGGACTTATCATTGATACATGGTATATGTTCTACCAGGTGAGCTACGGAGGCGTGTCTCTCTTTCTCTTTGTGATGTCTGAACTACGTAGAGGGAGGGATGAGCTATGTTTATTTACATAGCCTCTAGAGGGAGGCTATGTATATAAACTTTACTAACTTACTAACTTTACTACTATAAGCAGTAGTTTAATATATTGGGAAATACACGTTCGCTTTCTTGACGAGAGTTTGTTGGGAAGATCCATACCGATGTCGTATCTGTCCGTTAGCCAGTGACTCCAGGAAGTTGCTGCTCCAGGACTAGAAATAGTTAAAACAAGTAACTTCCCATTAGGCCACAAAGTCATGTTTACAGTGTACAGATTAAACAAACAAGAAAATGGAAGAAAGAAAAAACACAGCAGCACAATGCAAGTCCCACATAGAGATACAAAATATATTATAAACATCAATAATAATAATAATGTGAATACTAATAATAATTGTAGGGGCAGCAAGTGGCTTGTAACCACAGATCCAGACTCTACAGCTCCAGTGGCAGAAATACCTGAAGAAGGAAAGAGGAGAGACCAGAAGGCACAAAACTATGGGAGAGGGAAGAAGTCGAGTTAGTAACATGCATTAAAGGGATAAGAATGCATACAGATGGAGAGGGATAGAAGGAGAGAAGCTCAGTGCTTCATGGGAAGTTTCACAGCAGTCTATGCCTATAGCAGTGTAACTAAGTGATGGTTCAGGACTCACCTGAGCCAGCCCATAAGCTTTATCAAAGAGGAAAGTCTTACGCCTGCTCTCAAAGGTGGAGATGGTGTCTGCCTCCTGAACCCAAACTGGGACCTGATTCCACAGGAGAGGAGCTTGATAGCTGAAGGCTTGCTTAGGCCTGCTTCCAGGCTTTATGCTATGCTAAGATAAGCATTAACTTAAGGGATAAACATGAGAGTGGTATCAATCTTCTCATCTACAGTAACTCTTGGCAAGAAAGTGAATAAGCATATTTCCTAAAATGTCTAATTATTCTATTAAATGTACTTTTTGATCCTGTGAGCTAGGGCTGGGTGATATGACAACGATATATTTGAGATTACATTAATTGGTCAACCATCAGAGAATTGCCGTTTACACAGAGCTATCTATATCTGTAACATCTCAGAATGTATCCAGCCATTGTGGGAAATGTTAAAAATCAAAAATCCATTGCTTTGCAGAAATAATAATTATTATTGGATTTATATGATTTTAGCATGAAGTAGGCAACCTTTATTTGCCAGGGATTAAATTTGCTGGATTAGACAAAAACATTCCTGTCTGGTTGTTTTTACATAAAATTTACTTTAAGCACCACAAATTATTACATTCTATTCACCCCAATTGTATTACATTAACATTTTCAATTGGTTGAGCTCAAACCTTCACAATATTAAGATTTTGCGATGTGTGAATGTGTTTTATTAACAGGCAGCTATAAGTTAGTGTGGCTGTGTCAACGATACTCAACACAGTGTGAATTTAAAGATTAAATCAGTGGCCAAATAGAGACATATTCAAGTCAATATACAAGTCTCTGTGTGCTGACTACATTTAAGTGACACCTGCTCCTCTCAGACTTACCACTGCAAAGTTCTGTGCAAGACATCCACCTCACAATCTCTCTCTCTCACACGCACACACACAAACACACAAAGGCATCCTTTTTGTCATCTCAGCTTTGCACAAAGGGAAAACGGAGCACGCTATCTCCTTTCACCCTAACAGTTGGAATGACACCTTGGGGAGTGTAGACTGCATGAAAGCTATGAGTTACTAACCAAACACCACTGTGTTTAGGACTCAGATTAGTAAAAAAAAAACACCTGGGAAAACACCTAGACTAGAGACCATGGGATCACACCAGCTGCCTGCTATGCCAAATCGGTGTGCATGGTGCAATGGAACACGTGCCATGAAAGAAGTAAGTCTGGCGAAACAGTGCTAGATTTATTCAACATGCCTAACCGTCCTCGCAGGTTAAGCTTTTAACCTATGTTAGTTGGGACATGTGTTTTTCTGAATATTCCCTGATTTGAAAAAAGGAATGTACAACATTAAACATCGTTACTTGTGACTGTAAAATGATTCAGCACTGGCAAGATATAAATGATGAGTTGTTTGGTGAGAAAAATTGTTTTTTGTTTTGTCGGCCTGGATCTTACCATCTTGGCAATGAAGGTGGGCCAGGGGATTAAAGTTGGGGGATAATTTCCCCTTCCCTACTTCTTTCCCTACTACTTCTGACGCCCTTGCTCGGACCACACCCATCTTCGACCTTGATCTTCATTTTGATCCCAACTACACACCTGCTGCATCTCGCACGGTTGAGAAGCTATCACATGGACAAAATCTGTCTACAGACAAACAGACATACAAACACCTGGTGAATACTCAGAACTGCTTCTGAGGTATAGTTCCCACTACAGTAGGTGTCTTCAGGACCACATTTTGCCATTATGATACACACATACAGACAGGCAGACTCACAAGGTGAAAACAATACCTGTATACAACAACAGCATGTCTGGCAAGTATATTCTATTGTGTCTCTGGCTTGTTGGGTTTCATCTCCATAAAGCTTCACTTTGTCTTCACTATTAGACAATAGGCTGAATCTGTGAAAAAGAGCCTAAGAAAGAGAGGCGCGATGAAAAAGAAGACTGCAGGTTTTTTTGTTTGTTTTTGTTTTTTCATGTACTGGGTCACACTCTTCTGTGTGTGAGAGACACTTAGATATATGGCGGACAATGGCAGGGAACAATGAGAGTGACAGGCATGGTTACAGTATAAAAGAGGCCTGAGAGTTCTCAGGATTTACTGCATGTCCCGGTATGAGAGGAGTGTGTGAGGGTGTGTGTGTGCCAGTGTGTGGACGCTGGACTTGGATTTTTTCTCACTTGACTCTTGATAAGGTGAGACAGCTTTGTAGCAAATGGAATTTAGTTTGATTGTCAAAAGTTGTTAATTAGTTGTGGATTAAGGGAAGAGTATCAACTGGAGTTTAATCAGTGATTTGGGGGATTTAAAGTTTGAATGAAACAAAAACACTTGAATTGAAATTACTTTTTTATTTTGGAGTGAAGAAGCAATGCAATGAATAGGAAGTCTTTCCCCCGTTTATACTTAATTTTTAACTATGCACTGCAATTATAAAGTATAAACCAGTGGACAAATCATTAGTTGTAGTTCATGTCTCAGTGTAGTTCGTGTCTCAATTCTGATTTTTCCCTCTGAAGAAGAAAACCCTCAGTTGTGCAGAAGCTACTACATTTATGCTTAATTATCTTACATGTAAGATACTTTACTACTACTTAAGAATTTTTACATTTGATAATACATTTAAACAATCATATTAACCTGTGCACAAAAGTACATGAAGAGTGCAATATAATAAAAGCGTGACACAAGCCAATGATATCAAAGTCTTTCCTTCCACTTTTACTGGAAACTTTTACCTGTTTAGGGCCTGTGATACTGACCACTTCAATTCATTCTTTCTTTCTTTCTTTCTTTGGTAGCCACTAAGATGAACATGATTCCATCATGTCACCTCTCACTGCTCCTTTTGCTTGCTGTAACAGGTGAGTAACATTGGCATCTGAGAATACCTTTACAGTGCATACTGTCTTTTTAGCGTATAAACCTTCAGTCACACAGGGCTGACTTCATGCAACAAGTAAAAAATAAAAGCTATGAGCTTATTTCATATGTTTCATGAATTCATTAATGATTTCGGTCTTTTGTGTCTAATCCCCTCCCCGGCTAGATGTGTACGGGGTGAGAATCATCGGGGGTGATGAGGTATACCCCTACTCCATCAGGTATCAAGCCTCCCTCCAATTCATGAACCTACACTTCTGCGGAGGCACCCTCATCCACCCGCAGTGGGTGGTGTCTGCTGCCCACTGCTGGAGACCGTAAGTTACTGCAGTTTTACACCTGTGGCACATGGGCCAGATTTACTTTCCGTGTTAGCACATTCTGCACATTGTATTCAAACCCCAAAGCTGTATAGTAGACAGAGTATTAAAATGATCTGGAGTTACTGTTACATGACTTTGAAAGAAATGTTGGATTGCCTGATCTGCAGCTGATGAACAATTGTGCTTCAAAGCACCTTAACAATCTGGTCCTTTGCCTTCTTATGTGCTCTTTTAGGGGTGCCATGATCCAAGTGGTACTGGGTGATCACAACATCTTTGAGGTGGAGGGCTTTGAACAGAGGTTCAATGTCTCCTTAGTCATCAGGCACTACCAGTACTCATACTGGACATTTGACAGTGATATAATGCTGCTGAAGGTAAGGGATCATTGTGCAATATGAGATAGGGTTGGGTTTTGATACAGATACGGATTTGATGTGGATTTGAAGGGCGTGAGTTGAAATGATAATGATCTGTCATGTTCCACATCTGCGCTGCTTCTCAAGGCACCCTTCACAGAGATGTGTCATATCATGGAAAACACAAAAATAAGCATTATATTGTCAATGCTTACTAATTGGCACAACTAAATGCACAACAATGATTGTTTACCATAGACTGTATAAAAGATGTTTACCTACTTCCTCCCTAAACCCCACATGGTGGGTATCAATGCTGGATTCAGAATAAATAGAGAAAATGGTTTTGAGGTCAGAAAGTACATTTTTTGACCCATATTATGTTTTGTTTAGTATCTATACTACTGCAGGTACAATTTCTGACCTGTATTTTTTCTACGTTAATCAAACTATTATGCTAATATAAACAATGGCTGACAGGGGTGGGTGGGTTGGAACACTTCTTTAAAAAGTGTTACACTGTTGGTAATGTATTATTCCATTATTCCATGCAGAGTACAATCTAATATACATGTTATCTCAGCCAGTAGAAATCGAAACCAACATTGGGTTATGCTGTAGAAAATGTGACCAGTGTTTGAGGTGACAGACCAAAGTACAAAATGATGATTTTGCTTCAATCTGTCAATTTTCAGATTTAAGAACTATTATTACCATACATTCATTAAATTTGTATAAAACAATCTTGAATGATAATATAAACACAATATTTTGTCTGTTCAGCTTCAGATCCTGTAAATTTCATCTTTGTTAGCACTTTCCAAGTAAAAGTTTGACCAGTCTATTTAAAACTCTCCATATTGAATCATATATCATTTAAACATTTGTTTTCTCAAACACAATGTTAGCTAGTCCATATATCATACATCTATAAGAGATAAGTTCATGTGACAAACATTAATTTATATGCTAAGTGTGTTTCTATTGCCTTAGCTAATCTTTAACAGCCGTTTTCTCAAAATGTCATGTTTCCTGTAGGCCAAGTCTTATTCCTGGCCCTTCAAAGCAGTTAGAGCATCTTTTAAACATTTTTATAGCAAGACATTTACAAAGGTATTCTAAAATATCTTTTATCATTCTCATTTTATGTTGCCTTTTATCTCTAAAATTGTGGAAAAAAGGGTCCGTCACACACATGACTGGTGTATTTTAAATAAATCCATGAAAAAACAGTATTTTGATAAACTGTTCTGTAAATGTCTGGCCATTAGGTATATTATCACTATAAAACAAAAAAAAAATCATCTGAGTCTTAGCAATGTGCTGGAAAATGTGTGTGATATGCAAATTAGAGCACATTAATGAGAAAATTCATATTTGCATGTTAAAAATAAAATACATAAAAATTATAATTAAAAAAAATTCTATTTATGAATACTATCAGCTTGTAAAATTTCATTGTGATATGACTAAATTTGGCAAAAAAGCCTAGACTGTGGTGTCTTGCCGTTAGAGAGAATGACGTACAGTAACTGCATTATTATTATTATTATTATTATTACATAATGATAGCAAGTAATGGTTTTAGATAAAATCTGCTGTCATTTAGAAGAAACATTTAGAAAAGTTGATGCTGACTGAGGAAATTTAGGTCTTGAAACTAACTTTTTCACCACCTTTCCAAATTTCACAAGGGGGAGCACTAATGTCATTCCACAGCAGCCACACTGACAAGGCTTCATGCAGATGTATCCTCAGACATTTTTTGTTTATTGGCCTCTTCAATGCAGGTATCTGCTGCTGCCAATTATCTCAAAATGCCAGATATTGTCCCGATTAACCGGCTGACTGATTGATATCGCTAAGTTACACAGACAAGATGTTCTTTAATCAGGTACATTGTATTAGTGCTTTTTAAGTATATCTTTTAGTATGTTTGTTCCAGTAGATTAATTTACATACATACGGATCTATCAGACATAGTCTGTTACTGAGAGAGAGACTTAGGTAAAAGTTTGAAGACTCAAGCTAAAAAATTCAGAAAGGTAATAATTGCTGAAGAAAAAGTGTTACAATCATACCTGGTCTCCCCTACTCATTACACAGGGTTGCCCCAATCAGAGTTTTCTTTATTGGCTAGTTTTCTATTATAGGATTGTCATCATCTATAATGTTTAAGCAGCATTTCTGTCATAGTTGGTTGATGTGGAGTTGCTTTTAACTATTTTATAAGGTGTTGGGCAGTTTAAGCTGCAAAAACCTCAAGCATATAACTACATTTCTGTCTATAATTGAGTCCTATGTATGTTAATACCAAACACTGTATAAAAATTCCTAAAAATAAGATAATTATGTCTATATATATTTTGTCTCAGTGCTGGAGGTTCTTGACTCGTTTACAATAACTGTGACTTCATACACACGATCCACATAATACAAGTCTTAAATAAAGTAAATAAATGAAAGGTTTATTGAACTACTAACTACACACACACGCACACACTAATAATAACCACCAGACACACTAATGAATGGATGAATGCAACCATGAATAAATTCAGTATGAACACAGCGACGAACATGCCAGATGATGCAGTTAATGAGTATCTTGGCAAGCTGTATTAATTTGCGTTAATACAGGAGACCAAAACTATAGTATTGACCAGTGAAATCACTTTAATGCAGCGTTCAGCAGCTGAGAGGTTATTGGGAAGCGCAAGTGAAATACTTTACAATGATCATGATTACTGTGTTGAAGTTTCACACCTGGTGGTTCAGATGGCCAGGAGAGAAGTAGCTCTGCAGGGGGAAATAGCAGCAGTGCTCCCAGGGAATTATTGGTGCGATCGGTCCCACTTCGCAGCTTGGCCAACTGATATGTTTCTCTCTCTCTCATGTGGGACTCCCAGGAGCTCTCTGGCATTTGCTGGCATTCTCGATCCCACGTGACAATTCTCTCCGTTCATCAGACAGCATCTTCACAAACCCCCACTTGGCTGTGTGTAATGGCACCATGGGGGCTTTCCAGTTCAAATTTTTGGTTATGTTATAGTACAGACGTTGAGTAGCCAGAATGGAGCAGATTTCTTGTAGAAGGTTTCTTTCTTTCAGAGTTAGTTGGGTGCTGGCCTTCAGCACTATCGAGTCATGCACTCCCCATGACCTCTGAAGTTGTGCTGTGGTATCTGGCACCAAGACGTTAGCAGCAGATCCTTTAAGTCCTGTAAGTTTTGAGTTGTGTCCTCCATGGATAATACTTGCTTATCCAGCACATCCCACAGATGCTCCTTTAGATTGAGATCTTGGGAATTTGGAGGCCAAGTCAACGTCTTGATTTCGTTGTTGTGTTCTTTAAAACCATTCCTGAACCATTTTTGCTTTGTGGCAGGGCGTGTTATCCTGCTGAAGGAGGCCACTGCCATCAGGAAATATTATTTCCATGAAAGGGCGTACATGGTATGCAACAATGCTTAGGTTGGTGGTATGTGTTTATGTAACATCCACATGAATGGCAGGAGCCAAGGTTTCCTGTAGAACTCTGCCCAAAGTATCACACTGCCTCCGCCATCTTACCTTCTTCCCATAGTGCAACTTGGTGGCATATGTGTTTCCCAGGTAAGTGACGCACACGCACCCGGCCATCCACGTGATAAAAGAAAACATGATTCATCAGACCAGGCCACCTTCTTCTATTGTTCTGTGGTCTACTACTGATGCTCACCTGTCCATTGTAGGGTCTTTCAGTGTAGACAGGGGTCCGCATTGGCTAAGCAGCCCCAAACGCAACAAACTGTGATGCCCTCTGTGTTCTAACACCTTTCTATCAGGACCTGAATTAACTTTTTCAGCAATCTGACCTACAGTAGCTCGTCTGTTGGATCGGACCACACGGGCCAACCTTCGGTCCCCATGTGACATGACCCTGTCGCTGGTTCACCACTTTTCCTTCCTTGGGACTTTTGAAAAGTACTGACCACTGCAGACTGGGAACACCCCACAAGAGCTGCAGTTTCGGAGATTCTCTGACCCAGTTGTCTGGCCATCACATTGTGGCCCTTGAGAACCAAATGTTCACTTGCTGCCTAATATATCCCACCCACTGACAGGTGCCATGGTCACAAGATAATCAGTGTTATTCACGTCACCTGTCAGTGGTCATAATGTTATGGCTGATCGATGTACATGCGCAACACATTAAATGAGTAAAACACAGTAAACTCAATACATATCAGGGTCAATACCATGTCACGGACATGATTCTATCACTCCTGTGGGAGAGAAACAAACAGGCACATACTCTGTGTGGGTGAATCTGTAAACAGTTTTGTTAGTTCAGTTTCTGTTATGATGACAAGTGACACATAAACTTACCCCATGCGTTTTAATCTCTAGATATACAGTCTGTATATGGGTGTAGCAAATTAAATAGGAAAAATAGATTTACAACAGTAATTATCTTAATACAACAGATCTTTTTAATACAACATCCCTGCCAAAGGAATGCTAAAGGTGAGGGGGAGAGGGGAGCAGACACAGGCATCTTCCTACCAGTTCACTTTCTACTATATCTGCCTCAAAATCAGCACAAACCTTTACATTCTTCCTATAGTGTCACATATCCAATTGTGTACATTTGATTTTGTATTGCAATGCAATTTCCTTTGTTCCTGGTACTCTGCATGAGCTCTTGATGAAGTTCATATCCTGGAAGGTAGAGTCTTCAGTTTATCAAGTTACTTCAAGTCATACATTGTTCAGGGTGTCACTTAACTTTTCAGTGTCCTCCCTGAGGTTTGGTTGGGTGTGATTTATGATCCAGAGGTCCTGTAAAGACAGGGTGTTTGGGGGAAGTGCAGCCTTGAGCCCTAACAGAGCCTGTTTCATAACCCAGAAGCCATGTTGACAGGGAAGGTAAATTTATTTACAGACTAGATAAGAGGGGCGTTTCTTTCACTAAACAATGGATCATGTTTTAGAAGCCAATCAGATGTTTTGTGAGGAATAATATGCAAAATAATTAGTAGCTAAAGGTGTCAGGTGAATGCAGTGGAGAAAAAAGTAGAGTGGAGCTTCTGTTCACCAGTTATTCATTTTATAAGTTACCTCACTATTGACCTGCCTATCACACAGTAGAAAGCATCTTAAAGTAAGTCTAGTGACTTCACTTCCAATCAGTTAAAACACTGACTCATTGCTTTTTATTGTGCATATCAGGAATTTTCTATGGAGCTGAAGTTTCCGTGCACTGTAACAATTTTACCATTGAAACTCATTGACAAATTATTCTTACTATCTATTGAACTAGAGACCTGTTGGAGACACAGTTGCATTCAACCCGTTAATTGCATAATCAGCTTCACTTGTTCATCTTTTCTGCCTCAGCATCTGTTCTTGTTTTATTCACTGTTGTATGTATTGCTTTAATGACATTTTTATGAGTCACCAATCAATGGCACAGATGGCAGAGATGGTCATATAGAAGAACAATAATCCTGTTTCCTCACATTGTAGAAACTCCTTTTATAATGCAAAGAGAAAATGTACAATGCTGCCTTTTGTTTAAGCTTTTTATCTTGACTGACTGAAGGATATGTTCTGTGTTGGTCAGTTGGACCGTCCAGCTATCATCAACACCAGGGTCCAACCGGTCTCTTTTCCAAACCCGGACTCACCCCCGTTGGCTGACCGCACCCGGTGCACAGTCAGTGGCTGGGGTGTGACCTGGCTCGACAGCAACAGCCTGTCACCTGTATTGAGGTCTGTGGATGTGGACATCTTTTCCAACTGCCGGTACTACTACTACTTCAGGATCACAGACAACATGGTCTGTGCTGGCTCTATTCTTGGTGGGAAAGACTCCTGTCAGGTGTGGCCCAAATTCATGTCGTTCGAGAGGTAGAGATTGAAATGATGGCAAACAAACAAAAAAAAAGATCTACAAATTTAGCAGTAAACAGGGAAAAAAATAAGAAAGCTTAAAACATATGATAACTGATGATGAAATAATGTGATCTGAAAATTACTTAAAATCGTATATGTGAAAGTAAAAATAATGTTGGATGTTAGGATGAGGTGTCACAGTAGAGTAGAGGTTGCTACAGTTTTATTCACTACAATATTTTATAGGTGCCCCAACAGCCCCGACCACCAAAATTCAAATCACAGGACTGAAACTTGTTATTACTCTAAAATTGATTGACAACAAAGAACAATTTGTATCTTTCTGATACTGTTAAAGCATCTGCCATCCCGATGTGTGAATGTAGACATCGTCCAAACTCTACTGAACATAGTATTTCTGCTGCTCCCTGATAATAGATACCTGCTGATACCTGTTCAGCAAAAGAAATATAAGAAAACTGGACTCTGATGGTAACTTGTTTTAACAAGCTAGATAAAAGGTAATGCCCTGGCAGTGGCAAAAAGCTTTGGTTTAATATTTGATTTGATTACATTAATGTTAGGTTATAGGTATAGGTTTAGGTAATATTTCATTGCTGCTGTGTAAAGGGATTACTGCTGGTAAAAAGCACATTATTTGTTTAAAGTGTTTGCAAACCACATGTTATTGCACTTTTGTGTATATAGCAGTACATTTAAATTACAAGTGCGCAATACACTACTTTACAATTCATTATTCAATTTTGCGCTTAACAATGCGATTAATCGCAAGAAAATCATGTGATTAATCGCAATTAAAAATTTTAATTGTTGCCCAGCACTAATTAAAATGCGTTTAATTTCCTGAACAAAAACATTAACTGGTTACTTTTCCATCCTCAGGGTGACTCAGGAGGGCCTCTTGTTTGTGACGGCAAATTTGAGGGAATTGTATCTTGGGGCGCCAGGTGTGCCTATGCTTACTACCCTGGCGTCTACACCAAGGTCAGGAACTACCTCGGATGGATCACCTTGGTCACCCAGAACAGCTAATGAGACTCTTGATTACAAGATCACCAAGGACTCTACTCTGAAGATTGGGTGGATCCTAATGGCACCAAAGGCATTAATGGATTTTTTTTTGTTGTCTTTCATATAAACATAATTATATCTTCTAAAAAAAAAAAAGAAAGTGTCTGTAACATACATTCCATGACTGACTAAACCCCCTACTTAGTGAAAATCACCCAATAAAGAAGACTCAGGTTGTTAAAAAAAAAAACATAAACCAAGTCTGACATATATATGCAACAAATGCACTTTGTATTTTATAGTTATTCTAATGTGTTTTTAGTGTTTTCCAGAAATGGTGTAAAACCATGTCACACCCATTTCAGGGATAATTTTGGTCTTTGAAGCCTCCATTTCTCCACTGACTCTGAGCTCAAAGAGAAGCTAGACTTAACAATAAAGATGTATTATTTTCTGTTTCCTCTGTTATTGGTCATCTATCACACCCTAACACACAATAGACACGGAACAAAAGCGAAAAAAACTTTTTTCCACAGACAGCTTTAGAGGTGAGTCACAGCAACCTGCCTGAACCGTCTGCGCAAAATGAATACTGGCAACAACAAAACTGCCTCCCGTTGCCTCATGACAGCGTGTTGACATCCTAGCGAATGATTGGCTGTGATTCCTCCCTCTCCCCTTTCCCTCAGTCCCATTCACATTTAAAGCTGAGCTACAATAGACTCATTCACCGACTCAAAAACAGCTTCACAAACCCCCAAGAGCAAGTATGGACCAAGTCAAGTTTAGTGGGGAGGTGAAGCATACTAAGGCCCTCGGCACCAGAAACTTGTCCCAGGAAATAGTCAAGAAGCTGATCCACCAGTCTCAGGAGGCAAAGAAGCAAGCCTACTGTCCTTACAGCAAATTCAGAGTGGGAGCTGCTCTACTGACCCTCGACAACTGTGTGTTTACAGGTAAGATTCTTGTGAAACTTTGCCTCTGGATAGAGTAAATATCAGCATCAGGGTTAAAATTTGAAGTGTAGGATGAACAGGAAAACAGGTTTATTTTGCTTTTTTATTGTATTATTGTATTGACACTGAATTATGTGCTCTTATCATTTTTGTGCTTTCCTGAAACCAGCCTATCAAGTTATTTGCCATTATCATCTAGTAGACTCATATACATCTAAAAGAAAGCATTGGGAAGGTTTACCACATTGTAAGCAGGGAAGACGTCAGAGCCACAGCATTATGCAACCTGTGTTTGGGTCTGTTCTTGCTGCTTTGTTGCTCTTTGAGACCATTTGACATGTGGGAGAAGTTACAGGATGTCACTACAAGGAAATTGATCATTAGCTTGATCAGAGTTTCATTTTGCTAATGTTAATGATTACCTGACAAAAGACAGTTGAAATGACGGGACTCTGTGAGAAAAGGTCAGAGAAAAAGGTTTAACTTTAACATGTCCCCCAACAGCACCACATCATTAGGTCTTCATCATTCCAATTGGTTTAAACAACAACTAATCTAAGTCTTAACTTGACCTTTTGTCATTCCATCCCTTGCGTCAACAGCGCTGTATACACTGACAGAGATGTCAAATCACTGTCAGCAGTAAGGCAAAGCCCCAACTGTCCTGTTCATGTTGCACGTGTCCTTCAGCAGAAATGTCTGGGGGGCGAAAGGCTGGCAAACAGCTGTGAGTGCAAAGACCCATGGAGTAAATATTTGATCAGGACAGAAGAAGTAAATAGACAGCCCCTTTGGTGGTGAAAAGGCCTATTTTGTTAAACACTTGTAACTTTATTTCCTACAGTTTCAGTTTCATTTCAGTGAAGCAAATGAACCTGAAATGGCTGATGACCAGACTATAATTGTGTCCCCGACAGGCTGCAATGTGGAGAACGCGTGTTACAACCTGGGTGTTTGTGCTGAAAGGAATGCAATCTCAAAGGCAGTGTCAGAAGGCTACAGAAGTTTCAAGGCCATTGCAATTGCTAGGTAATGTTCCAGGCTGTGATCCATAAAGTTCTCTGTATTTCCTGAGACGTCAGCATCCTTATTGCCCTTGCACAAAGCCACAGTCATGACTGTTTTACCCTGACTCACTTGTGTTCAGTGTCTTTTTGCACGTAAACACATCTTACCAAACTTCCCACGTTACACAATGTATGTAAAATTTCAACATGTGAGGCAAGAAAAGATTGGGTGCGAACAGTAACCGACCACAAGCCATCTTTTTTAAATGGCTTGTGATGTTTATGATGCCTATTTTGCCTTGTAAGAAAACTGTATGGAACACAGCAACGGTAGTAGAAATGCAAACATGTATTGTACAGCAATTTGTCAATAGGAAACAATGGTTTGATAGACTGTACGATTACATCCATTATTAAGGCAAGACACCACAGTCAAATAGGCTTTTTCGCAACTTTACTCATATCACAATGAAATTTTACAAGCTGATAGTAGGCCTATACATAAATAGAAGCTTTTTTGGAATTACAGTTTTTTATGTTTTTCATTTTAGAGTATGTCCTTCATTAAATGTGCATTGATTTACATATCACACAAATCCATTTTCCAGCACATTGAACAGTCAGATGGATATTTTTCATTTTAATGGGATAGTATACCAAATGCCCAGACATTTACAGAAGGTTTTATCAAAATATTGTTTTTTTTAATAGATTTATTCAAAATATACCGTGTATATAAATTTACACGATCTGCAGTTGACAGACTTGGTATAATATAGTATTATATAATAATGTTCATCAATATAAATCAAGGTTGTTTTGTACATTTCATGAAAGTATAATAATAATAGTTGCAAATCACTTGAAATCTGTAAATTGACAGATTTGCTGATTGGACAGTGGTGTCTCGCCTTAAAGCAACACTATGACACACTGTCATCACTCCAAAACATCAAAGAGGCTACAAGTTCTTTGCGTTTAACATTAATACATTTTTCACAGATGTAAACGTCAGCCACATAATCATCAGCCACATAATCATGTGTATGTTGAAAATACAGACCTTTTGTTTCTCGGGCAGCATGGGTCAGGATGTAGAGCAGTCAGCACCTTGCATGGTGGGTGCATGCTCCTGGCACATGTGTGAGAGGTGAATGTTGGCATGTGTTGTAAAGCTCTTTGAGTGGCTGGTAGACTAGAAAAGCACGTTTTTTATCTACATATGTTCTTTGCAGTGACCTGAATGACCAGTTCATCTCCCCCTGCGGTGGCTGCAGACAGTTCATGAGAGAGGTAAATGAATCTCTGCTGGTTTGTTTCTTCAAGGAGCTTTTAGTTTCTTGTCTGTGATGATACATACAAGTTCTCCTTATAGGACAGTGTTAATGTTTCAGCTGGAGTTTTTTTCCCCCACCCTGAGAAGACAGGTGGTAAACACTATATATTACACTACCATGGGTAATGCATAACTGCTAGGTCAAGTTTCTCATTAACTTGTTTATGTCAGGACTAAGTACAAAAAAACATTACTCTCAAAAAATGAAAGTAATGTGAGGATTTAACCTTGCTATATTTTATTTATCTTTTGTCCTTTCCCTCACAGTTTGGGGCAAATTGGGATGTGTACCTGTCAAAGCCTGACAGCTCGGAGTCGTACCTGAAGATGACTGTGGACGAGCTGCTGCCAGTCTCCTTTGGCCCTGAGGACCTGTCCATGAAGAAAGTGTTTGACATTCCTAATGAGTACTGAGCCTGTAGTCTAGTACAAAAAAAGCACACACTTTTTGGTTCTTTGAGCCGCCATGACATGTACTGTGTATAATGCACATGCTGCTGACAGTGTATTCATGTTTACCAGTAGTTCTATTTATGGTAAATATTTGTTCTTGTATCACCAGCTGATTGTAAGCAATGTCACATATTTAAATGTGCTCTATGTATAGTGTAACTTTAATAGACACAAGATCAAACTAATCGCCAGACTGTTAAATGGAAAATCTATTGTGCCTTAATTAGTGATCCATTTGCCTAATTGAACATATTGAATGCTGTGTTGTTTTTTGTGTAAAGAAAATGATGGGTCAAACTTATCCGCACATTTTAATAAATTAGCTGCTTTAAAAGGACTTTCTTTTAATAAGTTATTTTTAATGTATCACAGTTTAACTGTGAACATAAAGGAAGTTTAAAGGACATGCAAGAAAAAAAAAAGATTAGATAAGAGTTACAGTGTACTGCAAATATTATTTGTGGATCAGGAAATTATTCCATTACAGAGTAAAATGAGGAGACAGAGGGGGTGAAACATTTAAGTTGCCAGTGCATTTATTAGTGGCTTTTAGGTCTACTTATTCCATGCATTAAAATTTACAGTGGTTTAAGGGCACAGGCTTAAAAAGGGCAAGTGTAACATGATATCGTTTCTCCCTGATTCAGACAACTGACAAAAAAAAACAAGCGAAATCAGCCCAAAAATAAACAGCAAGTGTAAGACAAAAAGGCAGATTTCAACATTTTGGGCACCACATGGCAGCATATTAAATGTTAAATCTCTAAACAAAACGGCAGCAGGACATGGCTGGGCAGAAAAACATCAGGAAGAATCCTATTCAATCATTAATCCTTAAAAAATGTAGATGGTGTTATGTGAATAAGTTGATTATTGCTGCTTACAAAGCTGTCAAATACTCCGCCTGGAATCAAAAAGGCTGTGTCAGATCTACAATGGCAAACAACGGTTCCTAAAAGCAAAAATAAAGCTCATCATTTATCTATGAATTCAGTGCATCAGGCTCAGCCTTTATTTGCATTAAACTGCTTGCAAAGAAAGCCCATGTCGAGATCATATACAGCGTACATAGTGTCTGAAGGACAAAGTCTAATTCATGATAGAGGGCTGACTGTTGTAAAGATGTGTTCAGGCTCAAAGCAAATTTTAGAGGCTCTTGTTGGGTCAAAGGACTTGAGTAGAAAGTTGAGCAGTTAAAAGGAGAGGAAAATAACAGAGAACTGGAGTTAATCTAACCCTAACCCCCTAACACACACACACACACACACACACACACACACACACACACACACGGGCACACACGGGCACACACGGGCACACACAGAGCTACACATGTACCATGATGCTTATTGGCCGTTTGTCGGTAGTAAACTGAGAAAGTAAAAACACTCCAGTCACATGTGAGCATATAAGTGATGTGAAAATGTTCCTCTGCATGCAGTCATAATCTCCTTGGCAAGGTGCTGCAGCTAGCCAACAACACACATCACCTGCATATGTATATATATAGCTCAGCATTTCAGGAGAAACTGCTGTTGTTGTTGTTTTCTCTTCCGTCATCTTACTTACATCAGACTTTGCCTTTACTTAAGCATTTTAAAAGGTTTGTGGTAGCACATTAAACTAAGCCATCAGTTTCCGTCTGCTCCACGCTACATAACAGAGGGAATAAGACATCCTGTAAGCAGGTTGCAGCAGTTCAGTGCGGCCACCTACCTGAGCGCAAGAGAACTTAAATAATAATTTAAAAACTGCAACACTGTTATGCAGTTTTCTTAACCAGGAGACGAGACCACCAAGTGTATTCGCTACCAATCGTACCTTTCTTACTTTGACCTCAGCTCTATGCGGAGGAGGAGTTAGTGGTTTCATCAAGAGAGGGCCATGCAGGGACCTGTAATCTGGGGAGGGTGCCCTCCATTAACCTCTCCATCCACAGTCCCAGCCTGTCAAGCTTATGGTGGACTTCTATGCTGGTGGCCCTACTGGAGCCTCTCTTGGGTATAGCCCCGTCCTCTCTGGAGCGGGACCTGGATCGGGAGTGGGAGCTGGACCTGGACCTGGACCGGGATTTCCTCCTGCTGTCAGAGGAGAACGAGGCGTCAGACGAGGAGTCGTTGGGATCGTCCCCTGTGAAGACGGGCCTAAACAGGCAAAAGTATTTCTTGTAGCCGTTGAGGGCCAGGACATGGCCATTGTAGTCCAAAGACTCCTCGTCCTCGTCTGAATAGCCCTCGCTCTGCATAGCATGAGAGGTTGAGCGAAGGAGCGAGGGCATCCAGTGGCGGTGCTTATCAGCGTTGAGGAAGGAGAAGTGGAGGGTCTGAGTCCTGTAGTGGCAGAGGGGTTTAGGATTAATAAGTGGACCAAGCCTTGGTCAAAAACAAACGTGATGAAGTACTTCGTGTTTATACTATTCCATGATGAGCCCTTAGTTCTGTCATTTAAAGGCAAGTTACTGCAATATCCCAAGTAGGGACCAAGTCAGGGGCCAAAAGTCAAACTCATGACAGAGGGCTGACAACTGTAAAGATATGTTCAGGCTCAAAGCAAATTTTAATAGGCTCTTTGTAGGTTCAAGGACTAATTAATGTACAGGCGTAGATTCATTTGTATACACAAAAGTTATAGTCTAAAGTCCCCATTCATAAGTTTTATTTTTTGACATGTACAAATAACCCAATAGAAACAAACAGGAGGGGACTGGATTCAGGGAATCTAACGTCAATCCAGGTCAATCTCCACATTCATTTCATTCACAACAGACCATACATACTGTAAGCGGTTTGTTGAAATATTTTTCTGTTCCTGTTTAAACAAGGAACATCTGTTTTACTTTTAGTTTAAAAGTGCCAAGTCTCCGGGAATTACAGTCCAAGACTGGAAACAAATAATAATAATAGAAACGAAAACAAATGCAGTGCATAGACTTACCCAGAGAAAGAAAAAACCTCCTTGGCAAATTTCCTGAGCAAGGCGGTCTTGGAGGCGTTGGTGAGCACCAGCACAACATTCATGTGGCCGGGCCTCAGCTTAACCAGGTTGCTGGTGTACGTGATGTCTGTCAGCTCTGTCACTTCCACAAAGTCCTTCTTGGGCGGACGGCTGCATGGACCAACAGGTATGATAGAGAGAGTGGGGAAAAAAGATGGAATTATGGCCAGTCTGAGGAGGACTGATTCCAGATACCAAAAAACATGCGGCATGTGAGTATTGTATTTAGACAGGCTTAAAATAACTCAGAAGCAGTTTTTTCGAGCATGTTAATTATGCTGTGTGCATATGTCAGGTATGTATGTGCCCACACAGCTGCCAAATTTTCTCAAATGTCCACGTCAGTATATCAAAATGCAAAACAAAGGGACCAACTCAACTCGAACACCAACCAAAGGTTTGCTGTTCCAAAATGTTTATCTATTCCTATAAACAAATATGACACAATTCCATGTGTTGTAAGTCAGCGGGTGACTTCTAGGTTCAATCACTTGATTGTCCACAAACAATGATGTCTTAAATGACATGTAAGATATCTTACTCCACATGACAAACCTTTTTATAGCAGTTTGGGCAGCATTGGTCTGAATCACTATACTACAGAGCCATGTTTAATTATTAATGAGAATATCTTTTTGTGGGGCCACAGGAGCTGCTTTGACAACTTAAAGACCCCCCTCCCATGTGGTCCTGGCAGATGGATAAACAGCCCTTTAAGTGCAACATATGTTTTAAAAACCATCATTCATTCCCTTTTTCACAGTTTTCTGCTGTTGTTACTCAGATTGTGAGTGAAGTATGTTGCCCAAGTAAATGAGCTGTGACCTTTGGTCAAAGTACCTCTAGTGTTCTCCTCATTTCACTACGTTACCTTGAGGTACCGGCTCTACTTGAATCATTGTCTTCAGTTTGTGGTTGCTCCTTTGGCTTTGGCTTACGGGGTTTGGTCTCACCTGGCTCACTGAGAAAACAGAAGAGAAATCATCAGTGTGGACACACACTACTCTGACTCCTTTGTGTCAAATCAATCCAGCCTGTGGAGTGGAGTCAAATGATACACTATTGCTAAACAAACACATTTCTACAGTACATGTTGTCATTAGCATTAAGTATAACACATTTTAAATAAAGTTTATTCCAAATCAAATGTTTGGGTATATGATTAAAATGTACTGAAAAAGGGTCACGCCTCTCTCACCTGAAGGCCTGAATGATGACGGTGCCAAAAAGAATGAAGAGAGCTGAGAAGATCAGCGACAGGATCGGCATCATCTCTCGCCTTAAGGAGAGAAACGCGTTATTATTTAAAAATGTAGGAGAAAACACACAGCAGCCTCAACTTGGTCCCACCTCTTTCCGCTGGTAACCTCTTTGCCACACAGCAAAAATAATCATTAAAGAAAACAAAAGTGCTTTTCCCTGCCGTGCTTTGTCTTAGAAGTTTTCAGGATTTTAAAAATGCTGTTGTAAATCGTGTTTGTGAATGCTGCTCTATGTGTCTCGTCTAAATGTGAGACTGAAAGCTTTCCTGTACAGCGCCTACAAAGCCAATGTGTGTTTATTTACATCAGAAGAATGTGATACTAGGTCATTTCGATCCCTACATCTGAGTTGAGCGCACATATACTGAAGCAAATAATTAAATTGGGAAGTAAAATACACATAATAATAAATAAAAAGTGATCAGCTGCCTTGTAAAAGTGTGAGAGGGGAACACTTAAAATACAATAAAAACGTAATTTATTTTAAATGTTTCAAAAACTGGAGGAGATCTACATGTATAAATATTATTTTGCCAGAGAAATTCAGTTTATCAGTATTTGCTGTTCTCATTCTCAGAGCTTAACCATGTCATGTTGACATGATTCAGTAAGAACAAATATTACTGGGACCACAACAGAAAATTGCTGATGAACATTTAATATCCAGGAATTCATATCAATTACACTGCAAGAGGAACCCTGTGAACTATAAATAAAAACAAGAGCTGATGTTTGTCTTGCTGTTTGTTAACTGTATAAATGAACACATTCCCCCTTTATAGTTTTTGATTTAATGTTGAACAGGGTACCTTTATTGTTTAATAAAATATGCTTTAAAAGAGATAATTGTCATGTTCTTTAATCATATAATTATTAGTGCTGGGCAATGATTAAAAATTTTAACTATTTTCTTGTCATTAATTGCAATTAATCGCATGATTTTCTTGCAATTAAGGGCATTACTTTTTATCTAGCTTGTTAAAACAAGTTACAATCAGAGTCCAGTTTTCTTGGGTTTATTTTATTTTCAGCACCCCTCCACTGCTTATTTGGGTGGGTGATTTGGAGGCTGATCAAAATCCCTCCAGTGACCCATGGTTTGACTGTATGTGTATTCAGAGCCAGTGAGCAACAGACTTTCAAAATAATAATAATTTTTACAAAACTGCTTTAACGTGTGGTACAATAATTGTCTATGTTAATTAATTAATGCGTTAACCCTGGTGACATCTTGATACAGAAGCATGATTCAGCTTCTGATCAATTTCAGAAAAATCAGCAAAAGTACACCACCTTGTCTCTCTTTCTGTTTTTTTGCACTACATGCTGCAGACTATTTGGGGCGAGTGTTGTCTTACCAGTTAGAGTAGAGAAGGCCATCATATATCTGAAGGATGTAATCATAGGCAGCGTTCATCCACTGAACAATAAACACCTGGGAGGATGAAAATAAAAAATAAAACAATGACATTAATCGAAATGTTGTCGCAGCACAGACTAAGGTGAGTGTGTGTCGCCTGTATCTTACGGGTGCCATCTCGTTGTTGAGTTCTGGAAGGGTGGCGTCTGACCTCAGATAGGTGGGGTCTTTCTGAAGGAGCTCCAGCTGTTCGTGGAGGCGGTACTTGTCTTCTTCACTGCCGTTCCACACACCACTCACAGAGTGGTACAGGACCTTGCCAGCCTGGCTCCGCCTCTCAAGAATCACCACCTACAAGTGGTGTTAAAAAGCACTTTTACTGTAAACTGGGGATATGCAGAGTTTCAGGGAGCACATATCAGTAACCGGACACATATCAAATTCTGTATGTCCTGGGTATAGAAGTGCACATTGTCCTCAACGTTACTTTATACTGGAAGACTGAAAATTCAGACGGCTTTATTCGTAACATGCATTTGATTTTAGAAGCATGTTAGCAAGTTTGCGTAAAAGACAAGGATGTGATTGATGGATGTGTGCGTGCTTGTGTATGTGTCGCTGTCACTGACCTGAGGTGAGAGCACAGCCTGATTAGGGAGCAGTGCCTGACAGAGAGGCTGTTGCTGACGCTGGTAGACGTAAGCAAACCGCAGCACATCTTTTCTGTTAATTGAAGCGAAGTCCAGGAAGGCCTTATTGCCTGGAAGAAAGGCTTGGTCCTCCCCTGTGATCAGCAGCACGCAGTACCTGCAAACCATTCACTGTCAATTCACCTGCTACAGCAGCCTAACTACACAACATTTCCGTTCACAGTGACAATCACTGCCGTTTCTCACAGTTGTCATTCCTTTCTACAGCAATTCAGCAGACACACAGTTGTGGGAAAAGACAATGCTTTCTTTGATCAAGTTTTATTACCAAGAGGTCCATTTAAGTGAGAAATTAAGCCCCGTGGGCTTGGATTCTGCTCATAAAATGTCTTACTTCCTCCGTCGGTGGAACTGCTTGACAGGACACAGCTCATCAAAAAGCTGCTGGTTGACCAGCCGTGGCACCTGCAGGAACTTGTTGTTGGAGACAAACTCATCCATGATCTGTCGCTTCATCCCTCTGGCCTGAAAGAGAGAAAGGGTGGGGGGCGTAAAGCAAGAGAACGTTTAAGTGGCAGGGGAGAATGTTTTATTTACTGTTTTAGCTACTGTAGGGAAGCGATGGTGTAGGTTGCAAGCTGAGCTGGATATACCTGGATGATGTCAACAGGCTTCTCTGTATCCTCCTTAAACAGCAGCATCGTGGGGGCGTATGTGTTTATGTTGAACTGCCGCAGTAGCCGAGTGTTTTGCAGGTCACCCTGGTCCACGTAGCCGAAGTGTACATAATCTCTGAAGGCAAACGCCGTTAACTGGAGAGCGGAGTGGGAAGATGAGAGCATCAAAAATAAGTAGATTCAAATAAATAAGAGAAGGTGTTCAATACACATGTTCCCTAGCCTGCCACCTTACTGGAGCCGGGGCCTAATTTATAAACGTTGCGTAGTCACAACAGAAGGCGGAATAAATCAAAAGGTCACCTCTCACGTATACTACAAAGAGTTAATTTGCAAAAAGATAAAAGCCATTTTTAAAATGAATAAGCAAACACTTGTTTGATAGTCCTTGGAGCACACACACAAAAAAACATGATTTAGGATAATGAATAATAGATAATAATAAACGGATAATAATAAACAGAGATATATGGTTTTAGCAAAAGAACACCTCATATGTGTTTGGGAATCATATTTAATCTATTATTATTAAAAACTTGCATGTTATGAAACTTATTCTCATTAATATGGTAAATATATATGTGTGTCCCCCTCCTCCTCTGCCAATACTCAGGAGGGATTCTCATTCCTGCAAGGGGGTCGAGCTCCGGTGTCTCCTTTCCTCCAGGGCACAAACACTGTCTGTGTAAGGCTATGCACCTTTTGTCTTCTACTTTTATTTTTTCTTATTTCGGAGAGGGTTCGATGTCCTGAGGCAACAGCATTCACTGCGTCCTCCACATGTTGACACTATAATGTCCTTTTGGCATTTTGTGTTCACCAAACATTTTCTCTCTTGCTTCAACCTCCCGAAAAAGAACTTCAGTTTTACACTGGGTGAAATTTCTTGTTGCTTGTCAGATTTCATCATCATTGCCTTGATGCGGTCAGCGTGTATTAATATGTCTATTTATAAGCAACTATGGGCGTTAAAAGGGTGGGACAAGAACTTCGCTCTCATGCGCCAAATTTCAAGTTGATGCGTTGTAAAGCGAAAACAGCATGAGGCGTGCATGCACACTGTAATAAATTAGGATATATTTATGTGTAAGCACTTACTGTTTTGTCTGCAACAACCTTTTGACATAAATCCTACGTACAGTTTCATAAATGAGGCCCCAGATCTCAGAATATTAACCAACTTGAAGAGTCAAACTGAACAACAGCGCTTTTAGTCTAATCAGTGCAATGCTAATGTGGAAAACTGTGTGTGTGTGTGTGTGTGTGTGTGTGTGTGTGTGTGTGTGTGTGTGTGTGTGTGTGTGTGTGTGTGTATAAATACATAACTTACTTTGTAGAGTAGGGGAACAATAGGGACTTGGTCAAACAAGAGAACGCTGGGCTTATTTTCCACATGCCAACTATCCAGAAATGCCATGTAGTTGTTATCTGTGATCTGGAGAAACAATGGCAATAAGTTCAACAAAAATGTACTCTTGCTGAATTAAATAAACCCTGTTTTATTTACCACCACTTCACACTTTGTAAAACTGCACATTATGAGTTGCATTTGTACATATGTGTTAACTTAATCAGGCCTGTACCTTCAGTTATAACCAAAAAGGCCTATTATTCATCTATGTACAAATAATCACATGGTCTATAGATTGGTTCTATACATTTCATAAAAAATATCTGACTTAAAATACCCCTGGATGAAACGCACTCTTGAGGGGATGCGCCTCCGCCAAGAAAATGTACTTCTTAAACGATGCATCAATGAAATAATCTGTAGAAGCTTCGAGTACTAAAATCATCGTTAGCTGCAGCCCTAAAGCCAACAATAGACCTATATCTACCTGTCCCTTTCTCTCTAAGATCCTGGAGAAAGCAGGCACCGATCTGTTGTGCGATTTTCTACATAGCAATACTTTATTTAAGGATAATCAGTCAGGATTTGAAGTGTGTCATAGCACAGAGACAACACCACTGAAAATTACAAATTACCTTCTAACTGCATCAGACAAAGCACTTTTCTCTGTACCGGTCTTGTTAGATCTTAGTGCTGCATTCAATACAATTGACCATCTTATCCTATCACAGAGACTAGAACATTTAATTGGCATTAAAAGGAACCGCTCTAAGCTGGTCTAAGTCGTATTTATTAGATCAATCTCAGTTTGTACATGTTAACAATGAATCCTCCACCCACACCAAAGTTAGTTACGGACTTCTAAAAGTATCTGCGCTTGGACCACTCCTGTTCACCTTATATATGCTTCATTTAGGCAATATTATCAGGAAACACTCCATAAACTTTCATTGTTATGCAGATGATACTCAATTATGTCTATCGATCAAGATCCAGATGAAACTAATCAGTTAGCTAAACTTCAAATGTGCCTTCAAGATGTAACAACTTGGATGACCTGTAATTTCTGATTTTACACACAAATAACTGAAGTTATTGTACTGGAGCCCATCTGGTATATTCTTTCTCAAAATCAAGCAGAAAATCTAGTCCATGCATTTGTTACTTCTAGGCTGGATTGCTTTATTATCAGGCTGCTCGAATAAGTCCATTAAGACTCTTCAGTTGATCCAGAAAGCTGCAGGTATTGAGAAGAACCAGGAAAAGAGATTGTCCTATTTTAGCTTCTCTGCACTGGCTTCCTGTAAAATCCAGAATAGAATTTAAAATCCTTCTGCTCACCAACAAAGCCCTTAATGGTCAGGCACCGTCTTATCTTAAAGAGCTCATAGTACCTTACTACCCCACCAGAGCACTGCGCTCCCAGAATGCAAGGTTACGTGTGGTTCCAAGTCTCCATAAGTAGAATGGGAGCCAGAGCGTTCAGCTATCAAGCTCCTCTCCAGTGGAACCAGGTCCCAGTTTAAGTTTGGGAGGCGGAAACCATATCCACTAGGGCTTAACGACTTGGGGGAAAAAATTCAATTGCGTTTTATTTGCCAGATATTGCGATTACGATTCGATTTGCGATTTTTTTAATGAAGTTTTGCTAAAGTTCAGTATTCACTGCCAGTGTATTTTTGACTGAAGCCGTGTCAAGCAACACAGAGCAGATGAACCAGGCAGTAAGTCAGACACAGATCAGTATAGAGAATCCGGTCGATTTTCAAAATTGACCAGATCCTTTGCATACTCCAGATCGTACATCAACAATAAACAGACAGAAAGAAAGAAACAAAGCAAACTGTGCCACAGTTCAGTTTGGCTGGCTTGTTATGAATTGGCTCTTTATAAATAAAACTGAAGTGAACTTAAAATTCTTCGTAGATAGCACACATGTAGCAGTAGTATATTTAGTCTGCTTCATTTACCTTTTCCACCAGCTTGTTGGGAAGCAGGTCTTCAATAAACTGTCGCAGGTGCTCCCGTACCACAGCCTGATGGAAGAAGGTCACCCTGCCGTTCACCAGCCCGATGATGGAGGGAGCGCGGTGAGCTCCCAGCTGGTTGGCCAGGCGACGCTCATAACCCAGGTCCACAATGCCAATGCCAACACCTTGTGTAATAGTAAAATAGATTGCTATTGTACACAGTGGAGCAAAACACAAGTGTTGTTGCAATGAAGGAAAAAACAACACCTTAAACACATTTGATATATATTACGTTACTCCAGTGATTTTGTACATGTACAATTGTGCATATACTCCAGCAAAATCCCTGTTTGTCGTTAAGGTAGGGACTGGTTAAAATTCACAGATTAAAAGTGAGCAGCAAAATGATACCGACAGAACAAACATGGATCCTATTTTACAGTGAATTCTCTCTTTCACCAAACAACCACTTTGAAGCTCCAGTCGAAGAAGTTGTGGGATTTCAAGTCTTTGAAATGAGTAAGGAACTTCCTAATGGACAGAGTTCATAAAAGATGCATACACCTGTTTTTGGTGTCTACACAGAATCCTGTATATCCATACCGCTGTATACCACAGCGACAGAGAAAAAAAACCCAAAGCTGACTTTCAACAACGAATTCGTGTTGTACTGGGCTCCTGTGAGGTGTTTCCAATATTCTGCCCCATCATGCATGTAAATAGGTAATGAAAGATAAGAATAAAACGCAGTCCGGGACAGCACTACCCTTAACTATGACCTCAGTAATAAACAATAAATTTACACATTTTCGACAATGTCCCCAAAAACAGAATAGCTTTGTAAAGAAGCTATGAACAAGGACTCTCTATGTTATGGCAGGGCTTTTTCAAACAGATTATACAGGTGTACCTATTAAATTGGCTACTAAGTGTATTTCTCAGGAGTTAGTGAAGATTAAAACTGTGCTAGAAAGAGCATGAATATTGTACTTTCGTTTGTGAGGGCGCCACAACTACACTACTACAAATGAACACTATTGTCTGCTTTATGTGTAAATAGCCAATAGTTTGCCATAGCTACTTTACAATAAGGCCATAATATGTCAAACGTGCATGCAGTTACACTTGTTGTGTTCTGCAACAAAGTGGCCAAAAAAGTAATTAATGTTTCTTTAGAGTGAATGCTACAAATTTAACTAGAATATTTTTTCAACAAAAGCTAGAGATAGCTTTTTGTACCAAGCTATTTTCTTTTCCCCGCTATTCCAGAAAACCAAAAAGAGCTAATAAATCCTAATGAATAATTAAAGAAATGGCTGGCTCACTGTAAAGCATCTTAACACTCCTACTAATAGCCGACAGCTGCGTTAAACATCAACTATGTTATAATGCTTTTAGGAAAACCATCCCTGATCCTCAGAGTGTGGTGGGACAAACTGATGGGAGTTATATTTAAGCAGCAGACTTACCCAGCGGCTCCAGCTCCTGCACTGTCTCCTTCCACACTGGCTCAATGTGGATGCATGCAAAGCACCACTCAGAGGTCACTTTGATTAGGTACGGCCTCTTGTGGCTGTCTGGAAGGACATCACTGTTAAACTGCGCGTGGTGAAGCAGGTACTTGCTGTCTGCAAAGTCCCTGGCCCTGGAGGAGGGTTAGCAACGCATGACAGTGAGCCTTTTTTTTTTTCAGACATAGCCTACAGGGTGCTATCAGGACATGACCTGGGAGGAAAAAAACATGTATAATTTATAATTTTTGCAATTTGTGCAACATAAGGACATTAGAATGACAAGTTTGCAACTAATGATTTTTAATTATTCATATAGTAAAACTGTTTAAAAAGAAACACTGTAGATTAGAAGAGCTCAATCTGATATCTTTAACTAGCTTATTCTGGGCAAATAATCCAAAAGGTATTCCATTCACAATGGTATGAGATCCTCACAATTAAGAAGCAATAGCAAGCAAATGACAGTATTTAATCAAGGTGTCATCCATTTTCAGTTGATTGATTAGTTGTATAATTAATTTAATGTTTCCACACTACGGGACTTCATCGTACAACTTTGTAAAACATGACATGAAATTTGGGAATGGGACAATAACTGCTTGCAGCTACAAATCTCAGATCTAGGATGATAGCAGTTTCAGTAGCAAACACAAGGAGGAGCCCAACCTACACCACTCACTGTGGACTGGACACAGCTGCATGCTGGAAATTAAATGTTTAATAACAAAGCTCCTGTATGGGAGCATAGAGGAAGAAATATTTTTGCCAGAAGAGACAGATGAAGAGGCCCGTTCCCTTGTGAAACAGTATTAGGTCCAAAGCATGCTGCTGCTGTGATTTAGACAGCTGACAACTACTTGATGATAAACGATAAACAAATCTGATATCTGAACATGGACTACCTGGGGAAATGGAAAAAAGACTCATCAAAGTAGAAGCTGTTTTGGAAGCTGCGGAAACCTGGATGCTGCGACTGTCCAAAGGGCTGGTTTTCATCCATCTGCCCGTAGCGGTCAAAGTTGGACCTTCTCTCCTCATTGGACAGGATCTGAGAGGTAAGAGGACTGTGTTATTAATGTCACAGAGATCAAGAAAGTGAAACATAGAAAAGATACTGCCTGTCAGAGGTGTCAGCTGGAGCTTGTATGAAATACAGTGTTGTGAAGCATTTTTTAACCCACCTCGTATGACTTAGAAATCTTGATGAACATGTCCTCAGCTTTAGGGTCCTTGTTCTTGTCTGGATGCCTAAAAAACAGCCCAGACATGACATCATAAATCACTGCTCGGTCATTCTTGGTTAAAAAGGCTCTCAGTTTGACGTTTTAAATTAACGTTACACTAGCTGGTAAAGTGACAACAAGCACCGCTTCAGGGGTCAGATGTACAGTGTTAAGTAAACAGGGCATATCTGCTACAGCCAACAACATGTGATGGCCTCGGCGGACCTGATGTTAGTCACTCACCATTCTTTGGCGAGATTCTTGTATGCCTTTTTGATTTCTGCTTGACTCGCACTCCTGCTGACACCCAGGATTTTGTATGGATCATATTCAGAGGCTGTTTTCGCCAGCTGCACACTCAAAATTAGCAGAAAGATGGCGAGCAAAGCTGGGCATGTCCGAGGATGTCGGCTGGCTCTCCTGACCGTCATCGCTTGCCACTGTCCTCGTCCAACGTTGACGTCAGTTAACGTTGTGCTAGCTACCGAGCTGCCCGGTAAAGTACTGTTACTAAGCTAAACTGAAAGTTAACGGACACATATATCAAGCTAAGAGCTTACATGGTCAAATGTGTTTATTTGTCCAATGTTAAGTACTAACGGCAGACTAGATTACTACGATGAGGCCATTATTTTTCTAGCTAATACAAATTGTCTGCGTCTTTGCCCGCAATGAAACATTTAACTTCCGCTTAAATATTTCAAAATAAAATCCCCCTAAACGCCTTCTGAATCTCAAAGTAACGTTACATGTTTTTAATTATATATTTTACGAGGAAATTACAATTAATTTAAATTAAATTGCCATGCCAAGGGCTATGTAAGATAGTATATACAACGCTGAAATACACTCCAAATTGAGCAATTCAAAAGTGGGGTGTTAAATAAGACAGATTTGCACACGCCTGCAAGTTGAAAGGTTCACTAACGTTACTTGTTCAGATCTAGAATCACAGTTAAAAAATTCCAACCATATAAGAAAATAATTAAGGGTGTTTGGACCTACATCGGTAACATTTCTTGATGTTGTTGAGGTTGTGATGCTCAGCCTATGAAGTCCATTTTAATTTAATGCGGCTACTACTGTGCTTTTATTTTGAAGCAAAACTTTAACATTCGGTCTTGTTCTGGTGATGCTCTGCAAACTTGACGCTGCATCAGTCGTTTCATGAAAGTGCGCATGCTCCAGTCAGCAGCTGTCCTCAAACTGATCCTTCTTTACATTATCCTTCTTAAAATGCCTTTTCTGATTACACGTGCCATATTTAATAAAACAATGTTGTCAGTGATCTATTGTTTTTTAAATATGTGATTGTGATATCCTATCCGTTGTTCGCAAAAAAACTAACTAACACAACCAAGCGTTTCCTCCCGTGTAGATTATATGCAATTTATTCTAATAACGTAAATAACAATAACAGAAAGTAAACAAAAAAGGGTGTTTATTTTCTTTATTACTTTAATTCCCTTCTTGCGGGGGCTTCACTTCCGTTTCCTCTTCGTCATTGCCACACAGAACTGACTTGGTGGACTAGTGACCACACTACGAGACAAAAAAAATGAATAACGTTAGATCGATACAGGGCTCAACTCTCCCAGCGAGCGATTTAACCTGCTTATTGTAACCTGCCTGTCGACGACGCTAAACTGGGCGGTGTTTATCTCATGTTTAGACCAGTATGAGCAGCCTGTGTGAGTTTGCATTCAGCGGAGTGAGATTGCAAAGTGCGCAGAGGGTCTTATCTCGGTAGCTAGCATTAGCCCTGCACAGCTGTCGTCTGTGGGCCCCCCTGGCTGTATCATTCACGGGACAGGTACCTTTTAACTAGCTAAGGTAACTAACAATCATTCTTTTACAACTGCTTACAACACTGTTGTGACAGTTTACTGTGCTACAAAGACATAGGTGTGCAGCTGAGTCGAGGTTACCTTGCTAACGTGCTCGATTGCTGCCGTTATTCAAGGCAAAATCTGTAGATTTAAGGTAACCTACTAAACTTTAAAGCACAGGAACTGAAGGTGCTACGACCAATTTAATGCCATTTGTTACTATACACAAACTCTATAGACATCTTTTCTGATGCTCATAAATGTTTGTTTACATCTGGAATGTGTGTAAACACTGCCATAAAACCAGCTGATGCAAATATTTTGTGCTGTGTGATTATTAACTGCACCATCATTTAGGCATATATTTAATTTACCATGAGATGAGAAACACAAATTTATTTTGTTATATGTCAAACTCTGCTCTTTGAGCCACTTGATATTCCCTCATGATGCATACAGAAATGTAAAGCAGAAAAGTTTAATGCATGTTTTGACATCAACCTGATATTTTGAATTACATTAATGCTAACAGTGTTTTTCATTCCAGACTCAGCACCATGAATCTGTTGCGTCTAGTGTGCCGCCACAAGACAGCCCTGGTCATTGGCACTGTGTGCAGCTTCGCTGTAGTTTTGGTCTTCTTGGCTAAATGTACCTCTGAAACCCTGAAACAGGGCCACCAGGATCCTCCAGGCCTAGCCCCTCGTGCCAATTCTTTGCAATCCCGTCCAGAGCCGCATAATCCCCCCTCCACATCCAAAGACCTGTCCGCATTCCTTGTGGTCCTCATCACAACCGGCCCCAAGTACACAGAGCGAAGGAGTATTATCCGCAGCACCTGGCTGGCCAAGCGGGACTCCGATGTTCTGGCCATGTTTGTGGTGGGAACTCAGGGGCTTCCCAATGAGGACCTTCAGAACCTTAACACAGAGCAAGGGCGGCACAAGGATTTGCTGTTACTGCCTGACTTGCGAGATTCTTACGAGAACTTAACACTGAAGCTGCTGCACATGTACTCCTGGCTGGACCAGAATGTGGAGTTCAAGTTTGTCCTCAAAGCAGATGATGACACATTCGCTCGCCTGGACCTCCTTAAGGAGGAGCTGAAGGGGAAAGAGCCCAACCGGTTGTACTGGGGCTTCTTCTCAGGGAGAGGCCGAGTGAAAACAGCTGGGAAGTGGCGGGAAAGCTCGTGGGAGCTCTGTGACTACTACCTGCCCTACGCACTGGGTGGGGGTTACATCCTCTCGGCTGACCTCGTACGTTTTGTGCATCTTAATGCAGCCTACTTCAAGACGTGGCAGAGTGAGGATGTGTCACTGGGCGCCTGGCTGGCTCCTGTGGATGTTCGGCGGACACATGACCCACGCTTTGACACGGAGTATAAATCGCGTGGTTGCAACAACAAATACTTGGTGACACATAAGCAGAGCTTGGAGGACATGTTGGAAAAACACCAGACTCTGCAGCGTGACGGCAGGCTCTGCAAGGAGGAAGTCAAGCTGCGGTTGTCCTATGTATATGACTGGGGTGTGCCACCCTCGCAGTGTTGCCAAAGGAAGGATGGAATTCCTTAATTTTTGTCCATTGTACAAGGCTGAAGTTGGCTTTTGATTTGTATCTCCTTAAGTCCGGAAAAAGTTGAGGCATAATGTTTTTCGACCAATTCGCCATTGTTACACCATTTAAAGTTGTGTAACAAGTCCCAGAAATCATCAAAATCCCTTATTGCTGTTAAAATCCTATTTCAAGATTTGGGGAACCATTTTTATAATGCCGAGAACCAAAAAATGGTCAATTTCACCGCTTTTTCTTTATATAGATAAGATAAGAGCAGGTCTAGCTCAAAAACACTATATGCTATCATTTTTGTCTTTTTTCACCACTTTCACCAGCTGGGTGTTAAACGGTCCATGTTAATTTAAAATAGGTTTGACAAATTTAGATATATTGGGTTTTGAGCTAGAACTGGTCTAAAGTGGACTGGATCGAGGAAAAGCAATGACATATCCTTTTTTCTGTCTTCACAAATAAGAAAATATGTTTCACAAATCTGAAAATGGGCTGTAAAGGTCCCATATTATGCTCATTTTCAGGTTTATACTTTTATTTTTGGTGTCTACTAGAAAATGTTTACATCCTTTATTGTTCAAAAAACACATTATTTTTCTCATACTGTCCACTGCTTCAGCACCTCTGTTCATCCTCTGTCCGAACACTCTGCCCCTACTCCCTGAAAGGCCACTTTCTTCTGATAGGTCAACTTTAGGAAGCCACCAGAGGGGCAACTAGCTGGCACAGTGTTTAAACGATGTGTCGAGTTATGTCTGGCTATGCGAGTATATGCATCAATGATTACTGTACAAAAACAACTTTATTCACTCATAAAGGCTGCGCTAGATAGCTCCATTCCTGATGTCATGCTGGGAGCCAAATCGAAACAGCGTGTTTGCATACACATTTACTGAAAGACAGAGCAGGATTAAAAGAGAGGATGGTTTCTTTGAACACACATTTCTGTAGAAAATACATAAAAGAGTATTTTGCACGATGTGGGACCTTTTAAACATGTTAGTCTAGTCCAGGTCTGATTAGTCGAAATACAGTAGTTTTGTTTTTTTACTCGCCCTGGCTTAAGCTTGATTTATACTCATGCGTCAGGGCTACTTGCCTAGCCAGGCATTTATACTTGTGCGTCTGTGTCGCTGTTGTTCTGCAATTACGCAGACAAACGCTAGTTGGCGGTAGCGCTACAGCGTCCACTGTGTTGACTTTTGCCGGCCAGGCAAGCCAACTTGCGGTTTAGACCTCGGCTAACGTGAATGGGGGTAAAATTGTGCGGCTGTGACTTTTCAAATGTTACCGACCGAATGGATCGCATTCTGATAGTGAAACAAGTCACTATTCAGAACGCTTGAATAGGAAGCCAACTTCAGCCTCGTGTCGTTTTTGACCCATAAATTCCCTTGGCCTTGTTATTTGGACCCATGCTCATGTCAGTGCTCTGCTTTTTCCTTTCTGTTTACCACATCGGTGGCCTACTTCTCTCCTCTGTCTGTGCTTCTTCTGCCGCACCTCTTGCTAAATAGTTCCACTACAAGATATGTTTCAAGGTTATTTCAGTGTAGTAGATAGTACATGGAAACACAGACGGGAGGTTGTTACCCTGCCATGATGTCTACATTTTTTGTGAAAGCTAATTTTTTTGTACTTTATTTATTGTTAATTTATTCAGCAGCAAACACAACACACTGGTGTTGAGATGAGACAGAAGCACACGTGGCCTGTGGTTGCTGCTTGTGAGTAGTATTTGTATTTATAAACATGTTGGGGAGAGGGGTACTTATGATTCACAGAATTAATGGACAAGAAATGTTAATTTTTTTAAATGTAAAACTTGTTTACGGTCAATGGTACACAAGGTTTCATGTATCTGGAGGTGCGAAGAATGTGTAAGAGAAAATGGTTGAATGTGTTTTATTCAGCAGGCCTTCTTATTCCTTATACTGCAACAGTCTCACTTTAAAGTTTAGGTCATACATACGCACATTTACTGTGCAGAGATACCAAGTTATTTTATGAATGTTTGTTTGGAGCGCACCACAGATTCAGATCGAGAAACTTGATATAGACTAGCAGCTGGCACTTGGTCACTTTTTTAAACGCGAAACATCATTTTACAGTCCACCAATCATTATTCAGTGATTACTTTGTTTTCTGATGTTAAGCTCTCCAACCTGAACTTACCCTGTGATGTCAGTAGCTGTGTCCTAAAACTTGTGAAATGTGTACAGCGTTGATTAAAGGGTACGATACGTTTGAGCACAAATGACAACAAAAGGAAAGCTCCAAAAGGAGCAACATACAACCGAGCTCATTTTCAGACTGCTGTTGCGTTTTTGTGAATAATGACATAACCGTTCTCTCGCTGTTGTCACTAGCAGATTCTGATTCAATTCAGCTTTTAAGTTTCAGTGTTTTGACGTACATGGTCAGCCTCCCTGGATGTTTTATTAAACATTTTAAATGTATTTTTGTCACTTATATTCTTATGTATTCATTGTTTGAAAGGATATGTCATATTCAAATGAATGCATGTTGTACACTTCTCTACAAAAGGCAGAATTGCTACCATGAGGACTTCACAAAATGCTTTAAAAAAAAATACCAAATGCTAATATAATACTAAATAAAATTGCCTTACTTCTATAGCTGTTATATTTAGAAATGTTTCAATTGTAAAAACATGCTTTGATTTTACACAACCCAGGTTTTAGAGGAACTACATCAAGCATGTGGCCTGACGAATAATATAATAATAATATATGCTAATGTGGCTCGGGAAAGAGAAGTTTGGGGTCCCCTGCTGGAGCTGCTGCCCCCGCGACCCGACCCAGGATAAGCAGATGAAGATGGATGGATGATGGATGATGGACATCAAGCATGTTACATTGGGAAATTCCAAACTGCCGTGTGAATCTACATGATCCATTATGCTTAAACATTAGTATTAAAATAAGGGAGCTGAATTTTGATTAATCCAATCCGAAATATATTCAATTGCCAATCTGTGATGAATTAATTTGTCCATTTACTGTGCTCGTCACTAGGAAAAGGTTTGGATACACTTCAGGGTTCGTCTCACACGAACAAACTCAGGTTCGTTCTGCAGGCTCTCACTCCTCTTCTCCTCTTCCAGCTCATACTGCAAGACAGGAAACATCTGTGTTTGGACATCCTCCTCAGTAACATTGCATATTTGCCAATATCTGCAGGCTTGCTCACACACGCCCAAAAAGTAGAATATATGATTACAAATGCTGGATTCCCCAGGTTTCTGTGGTTAACATACGTACGCCTTGCACAGAGTTTCATCTCCAGGTCAGAGGGAGGACAGAGGGCCAGCTCGCTCTGCTTGTTCTGCTCTTGCTGTCTGCGCTCCAGCACACACTGCTGCTCTGTCCTTTTTCTGGGCAGTAGACCTCTGAGGACACATGAGGGTGGGGGGGAGTAAGAGGGAATACTGATGAGATAGATCACTGCATGACGATAAGCAGCCAAAAAAGAAAATGACTTCCCCGGAACATAAATTAAAGGTAGCTCTAAATGAAGCTCAATGATGAGGTCTGGGAGTTATCTTGAGTAATCATATCATCATATGGACATTTGGACACAATGTCATTGGGTTCCTGAAGTAGCTTTTTGTCCAACCGCATAAGAACCACAAACCAAACTCTGTGTAGTGATTTACATGTTTGCTTTCTCAGACACAAGAGAGTGAAAGCACTTGCCTCCCTGTTGAGAGATTATCAGTGATCTCTTGTATCTTTGATGTGATCAGTGTTAAACACCACCTAAACATGTGGCTTATCCCCAGCCACAACACTGTTCCGCTTGACATAAGGTATAAGAGGATTCTCTGACTGAGGCAGGAGACAAATAAAATATTTTCTTAGAGCAGCTGAGTAGACGTACCTTGACTTATCATATCCCACTTGTGTGTACATGGATCGGCCCGTTCCTACTGCCTGTGTGACCTGGTTACAGATGGCAGGTACAGAGCGCAGTGTTTCCTCACCTTCTGTGGCAGAATAGCAGCTCTTGGTGAAGGGCTCGGTGTTGGTGGGAAGCCAGGACTGGATTTGGCAGCTTCCTGGGTTTGATGAGGTCACCGCCCTCCTGTTGTTGACACTCAGTCCCCTGGTGTGGTGGGACCATCCGCCAGCGATGTCCCTCTGACACAAATAAATATAAGCCAGCACACACAGGCATATATCCTTGTCAGTCTTGTATCTAGTACACTCCTGCAAACACTGCATGAGTAGAGTCTCTGTTGGTAGATACTGTGCATGTTAAAAAATGGTGCTGCTTATGTTCAAGTTGTATGTGTCATCATAAGAGTGTTTTAAAGTGATGGGCTACCACTTACGACCAAATGTTAAGAGTGTGTCATTTGTTCCTTAGCTTCAGTTAACCAGTATAAACTTGACTTTCAACTTGTCCATTGTTTAATATGATCTTACCTCTTCTATTTCGAAGAACCATTTTTTGTGATACCTGAATGAAGAACAGCAGGAAAGTAAGTCAGTTCCATTCGCAAAATTTGCACTTTGAAAACGTGAAAGACTGCATAGATCTTTAATATATTTATAGAACATAAAACATGTAAATCTACACCAGACTGTCAGCAACATTAAAATTAAAGAACTTGTCAAACAAGCTTAAACAGTTTTGTTGTCAGATTATTGTCCTCAAAATGACACAACTCATAGTACGATCTTGCCGGAACGAGAGAAAGAGATCACAAATCATGCTTTCAGTCAGTTTAGTGACTATTTCTCTTACCAACATCCATGCCAGGAGAAATTTTTGCAAAATGAAGTCAACAAGGTTTTTGTGTATTATCAGCCCAGAAGAAACCTATAGGCAATTTTTTGCCCACTTAATCATATTTTTACTACTTTAATTCATTATCCACACCATTACTGAAACTATCATCACACCATAGAACTAATTATAATATCAGTCTTACCTGTGTACTATGGTAGAGACGCATTGCTGAAAAGAGAGCTGTGCTGAAGTCCGTTGTCGCAGAAGCAAGGGCAGAAGAAGAAGAAGCAGAAGCTAACTGTTGTTCTAAGGGTGCACAGTGAAGCTGATCTGAACAGGTGTGCTGCACTGTCCTGTGGTCAAATCTTATTAACAGTCTTACGACGCTTTGTTCAAGCCTTGTTCCCTCCAGGAGAGAAACTTCTGTTGTCTCTGACAACATATGGAGGATTAGGATAAAGTAATGTAATGATTAGGATAATGAAACACCAACAAAACAAATAATATATACCTTGTGGGTCCAACTATTATCACACACACTGAGGGGAGTCAAGGTTCACGCTAAATTCTACTTTAGTGTTGGTCTAGCAATTAATCTATACTTTTTACACACCGCTGCCCTGCTGCCTTCAAATTATATTCAAGCTGGAAAAACTACCCTCTGAAAGAGAGGAAACTTTCATGGTCCTGAGGAGACATCAGGTAAAATGCGGGATATATAAAGACCTTTTTCAGCCCTGCAAAAACATACTAAATAGAAATGTGGGGATTAAGTATGAAGGGCAAATAACGATGGTAAGAGGATGTGCCAAATAGTGGCAGTGGATGTTGCTTGTGATGCAAAATGTGTGTAGTATTAAAAAAGTGAAAATATTGAATTAGGACTAATCACTACATGTGACATATAACGTGGGTGTGCAATGTAAAACGTTTTTATAGATGCAACTAGTATGAGCAGAAGGCTGAGGTTTAGGCATTATATATGGGTTCCAGAACTCAATGAGACAAAGTGTGTAGAAGTGCATTTTATGTATACAGGCAGGTATCACATAGTTGCAGAAATAGATAGGTTTTTCAGCCTGCCTATGATGACAGAGTAAGTCTAGTGGGTTTGAATTAATGGCGGTAGATGGGAGCATATGCACAGTATAACAGATATAACAGATAGGTTAGATATACATATAAACTAATGTTTTACTGGTTAATCTGGAGCAGATTGTTACATAACACAAGGTGGTTTGTAGTCTATGGGTCTTACATGCAGTGCAGGTACCCTGATTCAGTACTGTCTTGACTGGCTGAGACTGAGGTTATTTGGACAGAAAGCACCCGGGAATGTCTGATGGCTGTCAACACAAATTGCTCCATGGTGGACCGCAGGGAATGAGGTGGAGGTGGAAGCTCATTGCAGTGTGGGTGGAAGCTCAGTTTAATCCTCATCCTTCCCTCTGTGCCGCCCACGGTGTGTCCAGGTTCAGAGCTGCAGCAGAGCCAGCATTTTTCACCACTTTGTTAATCCTATACGCTTGTCTTCCTTCCACTGTAGGTACTGTCTCCATGTCAAATATGTCAGAGTACAGTGTGCTTGCCATATCCTGTGAGAAATGTTGTTGTGAGCATATTTCGTTCTGCCTTCTCATGTGGTATATGTGTCTATTAACAGTCCTGTCCATTTGTTGGTAATACATTCTCCAGACAATATAACATTCAATTTCCTTCTAATAGATGTTGACCATGGTCATGGATACTATACAAACATACTACATGGTCTGTTAGACTACAATCTGTTAAATTATGTACACTGACGCATACTGAGGAGAAGGTTGCCCTGTGTTCACTTGTGTTGTCAATTTATGGAATTTATTATTGTTTATCAATAAAATGGTTTTCTGGACAAGTTTAAATTTCAGGTTGGTGTGCAGGGAGCTGTGAGTCATATATTCCAGTAGATGGCAGTAATGCTAGATGGACAACGACAAATATAAAACGTGAAAGAAGTTCGCAAGCCAAACCAGTGAAACCGGAAATGTCACCCGACTGAGTGCGAAGCGGACTGCTTTATATTCCCATGCTAGACTACATGATGGATATGTAATTTAAAGAAAGAAACAGTCATATAACATCGTCAAAGAGAAAACTGCAAATATGACAAATGGTATGTTTACTGTATTATGCAACTAGCTAAGAAGTGTCTGCAGCAGGACATGTAGAGCTAAGTTAGGCTAGCCAGCTAACTTAATGGTAGGAATGCTAACGTGGAAGCTAGGCTAGCTGTAGACGTGGCCCTGGGGAGCAATGTTGTTGAGCAATGTCGTTTGTTCCAATCACAGATCAAGTGCACAGTTTGAAAAGCCCTTGTCTTCAAACCTTCTTATGTTGGAAACGTCGTATTATTGTCAGGCTACAAGGTTTCTTGCTAACTAACGTTAGCTTTGATTAACGTTAATGTGTCGGCGGCTAATGCTAAACAGTTCAGACATCTAGACCACAACAATAATCGAAAAGGGCAAGAAAACCTGTGGGCATGTAACCGACATTAGTCCTTAAAATATCAACATTTCTCTGTCATTAACGCTGCTGCTTCTGGACTTCCCGGAGTCAACAACACAGCTTGCAGACCTCAGGACTGGGAGTAAATGCTATTGTTTAAATGACTTTAAATGGTGGAGACAATACGAGACATAAAGCAGCAGGAGCATAAACATCTGTCTCTCAGAGCTGGGCGTCAGAGCACCGACATACATTGAAAATGTCATTTGGTGACAGATTGTGAAGAGTGTTCATTGAAACTAAACTTACTTTCCGGGTAATTGTTTTTGTTTGTATTACAATAGAATTAATGTCTGTTTAGCAGATTCTCCCTTTTTTCTCCTTCTTTCTCTCCAGTCAGCTTCTATGCTGTTTTCTTCTTACAAAGAGGCCTTTTCAAATTCACAAATGAAAACTGACCTATGCATTAACGCAGCAAGAATCTGTGAATTATATTCCACGGTGGATTTCACACCTCGGGCTTCTTCACATTCCAGAGTATTCTGTTTCTGTCAGTGTTTTTGTCTCATTTAATTCAGCTAACAGATGTGTGATTAAGGTGAATTAGCAATGCATTCAGCTAACTGTCAAGGAAGACAGACTGTGTGACGTTCTCTTCCCCTTCCTCTGTAGTGTACTCTTTTGATGGGATTGTGGTGTTTGGGCTGCTGTTCATCTGCACGTGCGCTTACCTCAAAAAGGTGCCTCGTATCAACACCTGGCTGCTGTCGGAGAAGAAAGGAGTGTGGGGCGTCTTCTACAAAGGTAGATAATTTTAAAGTCTGTGACCTACAGACCCCAGCAGGTGCTTTGTATCTTCCTTGTTGAAGCTCTGCCAGGCTTGCGCTTCACCGATCTGAACTCCCTGCTTGTTTCAAGGGCCTTTTGTCTTCAAACATTTGATGCTGTTTGGCCATAACAACAACTCACTTGGTTGTCTTATCTGTGCATCTCTTCACTAATATCTTTAACAACCAGTATTTTGACATGAAATAGCAGGTAAAGGCCAGGTATGATTAATAACATTAATAAGTGTTGCATCCTGTATAGTTTTGCCAGTTCAGGGGCTCTTGGGGTGTGTGTGTGTGTGTGTGTGTGTGTGTGTGTGGTCTGGCTCAGTGTCATACAAACTTTACTGGGAAGCTTCTTCTTCAGCTCTTTCTGAATGTCGTCTGTGAAAAGGTCCTATGTGGTGCTCATAAAAACTCTTCACAAAGTCAGAAATTTAATCTCAGTCATTGTGTACAGAGTCAAAACAACAGAAAATGTGGCACTTCCTAAATATTTACACACCACACTGTAGTGTTGGACTTTTCTCTTGCCTGCAACACTCACTGCACTGTTAACACATCTGTTTACATGGTTTGCTATGTTTTCCTTAATCTGTGTGTTTGCAGTTGATCCGTTGTTTTCCTAACTCACTCCTCCTTTCTCTTTTCAGCTGCAGTAATCGGGACGCGGCTTCACATTGCGGTGGCGATGTCCTGTTTGGCCGTGGCTTTCTACGTTGTCTTCTTGAAATGATAGAACCAGACTGGACTGGAAAAAAAACTGAATGGGTGCAAGCTGGGGATGAACTCATCTCTGTGGCCATGCACTAATCCTTGTTGGATTACATGTGTGATGAAACCCCACTGGCCCTGTGGACCCTTGTGTAAGACCAGCCATTGCTGCCCCCCTTCTTGTGACTGGGTACATAACTCCTCCCTTGATAATGTGTGTGCACTACAGAACATGAAGGGCATCTGAATCTACTCCACAGTTATTACAGAGGAGCGAGCCTATTGGGTCCCATGTTGTCATTCTATTGTAGGGTTAACTCTGTTGGTTGTCTCCACCCTCACCCCATAAATATTTATATTGAAGGGCAGTTTGTGCATTATACAACCTGTATACAACCTAAAATTAGCCTAGCTGTATATATTGGGGGAAAGATATGACCAGTAGAGATTTGGCAGGGGTTACGCGTGATAAAACTGAAAATGGTGAATTCTGCTTGCTCCCAGCTGTGCTGTTTTTTTTTTTTCTGTATCACTTCTTCTGTCAAGGGTGGAGGGGAAGAGAAACAAAGCTAATATATAAAGATGTTCTTGTGTACACCATATTTTTTACTCTTTTCTTTTCTTAACAGAGCTGTTTGGTATCTCTTAAACTTTGTTTTAGATTTGAAATAGACTTTTTGCACAGGTGAATGTTTTTACTTTGACATCTAAGGCTAGAAAGATCTAGATAGATGTGTTAAAAGTCACATTGTTACGATTGAACTGTAAGTCACGTAGGCGTCAAAAGTCTTATCACAATTGTAGAGTATTGCAGAGAGAAGAGTAATACCTTTTTAAAAGAGGCATATCTCAACATATTGTGAAAATTAGATAGCTATGTCAGACTTGCCTCAAGATTTAAATGCAATGCCAAATAGGGATGGTCCTTCTCATGCCATCTTGATTACATTCTGTTATTCTGAGTTTAATTCTGTCACCTTTGTTTTTTAACTGTTTTGGAGGGATGCAATGCAATTTTGAGTAAAACATTAATCAAACAATTTCTGTGTTTGTTTTCTTTAAAACAAGTGTCAGGTCTGAAGTGACAGACATCCAGTGCCTATACAGTGTGTTCACCCCTGTCCCTTTGGAGTTTTTCATGTTTTGTTGATCTGCAAAAGAGAAAATAATCCAATTTCCAATATGAAATAATTAAATGTATATGGGTTTATGCTCTTCAAGTTAATATTTAGTTGAGGCAGTCCAGTCACGTTGATTGAAGCAGTGTTCAACTCCTGCCACAAAGCCTGGAGTGGATAGAGGCCTTTCCTGGTAATTAACTTTTTAAAGACATTATGTGCAGCGTGGACTTAATGTTTGGGGTTGTTGTCTTGCTGTAAAATAAATCATCTCCCATCATCGCATCTCAGATTTTCGTCTGTATTTTGTTGCAGTAATTTTCCCGTCACAAGTCCTCCAAGGCCTGATGCAGAGAAACTCCAGATATCTCCCCACAGAATAAGGCTGTCCCCGCCATGCATCATGTATTTCTGCTGATGTTCAGTGTTGGACAAATGCAGCATGTAGTATAATGGTCAAATAATTTTTATATTTTGTCACACAGGCTAGAGGTCATCCAAGTTCTTTACCAACAAACTGAGTAGAGAAGCATCTAGCCAATAGTGTTTGTGTGCAGTGTCTCCCATCTCACCCAGTGAACCCTGTACCTCCTTCACACGTGCCATAAGTCGCTTGGTGGGTTCTGACGCTCGTGCCCTTGTCACAAATACACTCAGTTTTTGAAGACAACCTGGTGTCAGGAGATTTACATTTAAACCCTTTTCCTTTTATCCAAAGTGACTTATATTTGAGGAACAACATACAAGCATCAATACAGTAAGAGATCTACAAGTGACAACAGATACTAGTAAGAGCAGCAATAAATACTAGCGAGCTATTAGCACGTACAGCATCAATGGGGTAAATACCTAGGGAAAGAAGTAAGAGTTAATGAAATAGTGCAATCAATACAAGCGAATTGTAAGGAAACCAAAGAAGAGCACAGGAAGTGCATGTTAGGGGTCAGAGGTGTTATAAGAGGAAGTGTTCATGGAAGAGACGAGTTTTCAGGAGCTTCTTGAAGTTAGAGAGGGACACCCCTGCTCTGATGGCATATGGTAGTTCCTTTCACCATTGTGTTGTTACAGATAAGAACAGGGACTGAGATTGCTTTGTGTGTAGGGATTTAAAACATATTTCCATTGTTTATGATTTACCTTACCTTATGTTCTCTCCATCACACTGTGTACATGTGTACATGTATGTGTACCTGTATACCATATCCACCTTCAACATGTACATAATGAGAATAGTTTACTCTTGCATCCTTTGCACTCTGATCACTGCACTATTTGTCAATATGTCTATATTGTTTTGTTCATAGTGTGTATATTAGTGTTGTCTATTCTGTAGTTTGTGCCTGATTTTATTTTATTATTATTTTATTATTGTGTTATTGTATTATTGTATAAGTAAGCACATCGTGAGCAATGTACAATGTACAAAAGTCAAATTCCTCATATGTGTACACATACCTGGCAATAAAACTGATTCTGATTCTGATTCTGTACTTTGTACATTGGAAATTGTCTTGTATCCCCAACCTCATTGTTCAGGAAAGACCCTTTTCACTACAGACATTGGACTGGTTGTAGGAAAAGCACGGGTGTGAAAACAGTAATGATAACTCTGTTCTATTCAAACGTCCCAGTGAGCACAATACCCCGTCCTCGAAACCGAAGCAGCTAAATGGAATTTACACCTGGCTTTTGCTGCTGTGACATTGTTTCTTCCATGAAAAAGGGCTGTTTTTAACGTTCATTTGTCTTTATGATTTTACAAATTAACTAATCAGCAGTCGGACCTTCCAGGGTGACTCACAGTCCCTTGTCACACTTCAATTAATACGCAGGTGATATTCATTCCACTCATTGCAGCTAATAAAAACAAATGACAGCACTTGCCATGTAGGTGTGAGCCATAATTAAATGGGTGAATAATATTAATAAAAATGTGTTTTATTTATAGATATTTTTTACTTGTTATTAAAGAGAATCTGTTGACCAGTATAAAAAAATCTTAATTACATAATTGTGATTTAGTAATACTGCATTGTTAAGTCATGACATGATTAGATTGGTGTGACTGTAAAATGCTATTACGCCTAAAGTACATTTAAACAGATTAAACATGTTCAGGGATTGTCAGAGGGAGATTCCCACTCGTGTCCACAGAAACGACGGGATATCCCCTGGTCTCTCAATATGCGATCCAGTTCTCGCGAGAACATTGTCAGAACAGGGACGCGCAGTGACGAAGAGACGTACGCGTTCACGTTTCCGCGCGCCCCAGCAAAGCTATACAGTTCTGGACGAAACATTCAGCGAAAGCTAGTACCCACTCGGCTTCCTGACCCGAGCACGATTTGAAGAGGAAGTTGTCTCCAAGCGCACCGACGTGCACGGAGAGGTGGGGGGATTATTTTTTTTGTGCCCCGCTGCACCGAATTTGCACGACTGGGCGGCTGAAGTTTTTGTGTGATCCAGGCCGTCTCAGTTGTAAGTTTTATCAGGAGCAGCAGCACACCACGCCGTACCACACGGGGAGGAGAGGAGAGGGGCAGAAGTTTCCGCTGGCTTGTTTTGTCGCTGCGCGGCTGGTAAATCCGCAGGAATGTCGCAGAAGGAGAGACCCGTTTTCTACCGACAGGAGCTCAACAAAACCGTGTGGGAGGTCCCGGAGCGGTACCAGAGCTTATCTCCCGTCGGGTCCGGTGCTTACGGATCTGTATGGTAAGCAGTTGTTGCAGAGCACACAGCACGATTGCACAACGGCCGAACGGGTTTCCACCACCCACAGAGGCCCGTCACAGTTACCTCCCCACGGGCTGCTTAGCAGCCCTGTAAAGGGTGCCTGTGGAAGAAAGGAGGAATATCAGTTGTGTCGTTTTTTTACACGTTCAGACTTTGGCTGTTATGAATTGATGGCACATCGTGCACGCTTCGGGGTGGCTCGCATTTCTTCGGCGGGTGGGGATTATGTTTGTTTTTGTGCAAATTTTTTGTTTTGCTGTGTAACTTGTCCTGTAAACACTTGCGTGTAACTTACTGGTCATTTCAAGAAAACACATTGGCAGCTCCAGGATGAAGTTTAACTGCACTCCAGTGTCAAACGTCGCCTGTTTTTCAGTCGTTTATCACTGTCTTCTGAAGACGGCTGGGCAGTGGCGTGTGCATGCCTGCATCATCTGCCAAAGCCCTGCCTCGTCAGGAGCTATGATCTGAGCTCATCAAACAGTGAGGGTTAACCAACCACTACAAAAACATTGTAGTCCTGCACGTACAACCTAGTCCTTTACCCATCCGCACATTGCATGCATTATGCATTTTCTAGTTGGGTGCAGCCTGCACAGTACCAGAAGGTCACGTGGTTTTCAGAAAGTAGGCCCCCTCGTGCACAGTGAGAGCTTTCTATAGGAGCCCATCCGAAGAGGATGATGACTCTGGAATGATGTCACCCTTTCTCTCGTTGTGGCACATCCATGACTCACAGTCCCGAGGTTAGGTAGTGGCCTCAGCTGTAACGCCTTTCAGTCATCACAAAGTCATAGATGGCATCGTACATACGTCATATTAACTTTACGGTCAGTTTTCACCTCAACTTCTACATTTTCAACTGATGAGTTTGTGTGTTTCTCAGTTATTAGTGGTGAATAAAGCGTGAACTGTGTCCGTATTTTGTACTTTACACAATCACTGGGCATACAACTACCAATGCACACGAAACGCATAAATATATACAGTGTGTTCTTAATAGCCATCTGTGGGAGACTAAATACGTCGTTACTAATAATTTATGCACTTATGTCAAGGCCAGAACAGTGCTTTTAAAATAAAAAAGGTTGGGTTCTATTTATTTAATTCACTTCCCCCGATTAATAACTTTGTCCGGCCTTGATTGCACAAAAAAGTATGTGTTGCAAGAAACACAAGAATCAAGATTCTTACCCTTAAAGTATAATCTGTGATTAAAAACAATGGTTCTCAAATGCCAAAATCAATTTTTGTATGTTAATAAAGTTGTTAACTGAAGAAAAAAATGTAATTGAACCCCAAGACTACACAATGCAGTATGGAAGTTTATAGGTGACAAAAGGGTTAGATTTTATTTTAAAATTTTTAGAATCAGAGTTTTGCTCAATGGAGGACAGAATCATCACCATAACAGATTACTTGAGCAGCGAGAGGAGTTGCTTATCTACATCTGAGGCAGAAATAGTGATTCTCGCGCTGGTAATGATCAAAGCTGCTCCTGCTCACTTTTGGTAGTCTTAATCCCCATGAACACAAAGGGTCTTCCTGTTAAACTGAGGATGCATATATCCGCATACCCTACTCCGTAGCCTGACATGCACCTCCCCAAAAATGTGACTACACGTTGCGGCGAGGACTGCAAGAACTGTAATTGGTCGGCGTGGTAGCATCTCATTTCCTCCAAGCCCCCTTTTTGCTACGGTTTCCAGGTTGAACAACATGTTTCCTCGTAACGGTGTGTAGCAGTGTAACGGCCATTGGGTTACGTTTTCTCTCGTCTGTGTCAGAGGTGTTATCAGTTGAAATAAATTTTGCTACGTACCTGACAAACGGATGTGGGTTTGTCCTATTGCAGCTTTCTAGTCAGAAATGGTTAGCAAACGACCTCTTGTGATCTCGAGTGTTCAGAAGCTGCCAAAACAGCTGGAGAAAATGGAGAGACCAGACTCAGAAACGAGTCTGATCCTGTGCGTGATCAAGTGTTGACTTGCAGACTGAGTAGCGCTAAGAATAAGTTTTGTGCTCTCTCAAACATTTTGCAATCAATAATCTTCCATACAACTCCCTTACTCCCTACATCACCAATTTCTGATATTTGCAGAGAATATCCGGTGATTTTGGTCAGTAAATTACACTTTCATTTCATCATTCGCTACAGAAGAAGACTGTGCCATGCTTCCAAATTAATGTAGTTTTTAACTTGTGCACACATACACACACAATTTTCTCTGTATTTTCCTGTTCGGTCAGAAAGTGATTTTCATCATGACCAGTAAGCCAGTTAGGCTATGTTTCATATTGCATTTCAGTGCAGAAAGAGCCTGAAAATTGGATACTCCTTTCTATTTTTTGAATCGAGACGATTCTGAATCTATTCATGACACCAACAATCTGAATTGAATCTGGAGATTCCCAAAGATTCCCACCTGTGTGTTTTTGTTTTGTTTTTAAAAAAAACAAAAAAAGCAAACTGTATCATTCTTACTGTTACTTGCAGTTACTTTGTAGTGGCCTTTGAGGAAATTCCTGTGTTTTCCTCCGTATTTGACTAT